GTGGTTTTGAAATTTTGTAGGTGGCGCTGTGGAGCCACTTCGCGCTATTCAATGAAAATGATCACATGCCAACAAAGCGTTCATCCATTTGGAGGTGTGTGCCAAATTTCAAGCCTCTATAAACTTGCCAAGACCCTCAAAAGCCACTTCATCTTTCATGTTGAACAGCGTTGCCACCAGGGTGCGCTGTTCAGTTTAAACTCACAATTTTTGCACTGAAGCATCACGAGGGACTGATGGTGATATTCACCGCTTTTGAGGTGGCCAAGATGAACCTGTGAAAATCAGTACAACAAAATTAAAGCCATGACATTTCCTGTTGCCACTAGGTGGCGCTGTCCGTATTTCCGACAATGGGCACATCAATCTGTTCAGGGCGGGTCTGAGATCATGCCTGTAAAGTCTGGTACTGATCAGACTGGATTTCATTGAGTTATACTAATTTGTTTCTTCATGGCGTGACATCAAAGTTCGCCATGCTGCTGGGGTCACACCCTTTTGCGAAAAGTCACAGTTTTCACTGTAACCCAAGACCAACTCCTTAAGGCTTTCCTGGAGAAATTTGAGGCTGCAGATGTCACCCATCACTATACTGTACCCCAAAGTGTAAAACATGACATTTCCTGTTCCCACTAGGTGGCGCTGTCCTTGATGTCAAATATGGCAGTTGAAATATGTTCAGGGGTGGAGCCTTATCATATGTGTGCTCTTTGGTCCAGATTGGAACATGTATGACAAAATGAGAGGCAATAAGATTTTCATGGCGAGTCATCGAAATTCGCCATGGCGCCACGGCCTCATAGTATTGTGAAAACTCAAAAGCTCCGCAATTTAACATGGCACAAGGGTGTAGTTGACACTGTCCAAATTTGAAGTTTATAGGACCAAATCCCAAGGAGGAGTTCGTTAAAGTACAAGGCATGGAAACGGTAAAATCAGACCCAAAATGTCACATTCAATCCAAAATGGCGGACTTCCTGTTGGGTTTAGGACATTGCCATAATAGACTTTTTTGTTCGACTCTGAACGTTATATAGGTGTACCGACTTTCAAACGTGTAGGTCATACCCATACCCGGGGCTCGCGTTTTTCATTTTCTAGGTGGCGCTACTGAGCTAATTTTCCCTGGCCATGTCTGAGAACATTAAAATACGTAAATTTTCACCAGACCTGACGCGTGTGCAAAATTTCATGAGTTTTCGAGCATGTTTAGGCCCTCAAACGGCCAATTCATTTGCCGAAATAATAATAATAATAATAATAATAATAATTAAAGCTGCAAGCAGCGTTATGAGGGCCCTCGCACCCCCAGCACGTCGAGCCACGCCCAACACCTAAAACCAGCACGTCCGATCTCATGTCACATTGATGGAATTCATGCATTTAACCACCAGCTAACATTTCATCTCATTGAAACATTATTAAAGTCGTCCCACTAGGTGGCGCTCAAACCATTATGTACAAATGGCATAACAAACATTTCCGAGCTCGAGTCTCATCACGCCTATGAGCTTTGGGAGAGATTGGACATTGTGTTTTTGAGTGACAGCAGATTAGTGCTTTTTGGCGAGTGACTGAAACTCTACGTGCCGCCATGACCACCCCATTTCCCTGAATGTAAAAAGCTTCGCAATTTAACATCACAAAGGTCTTTAGATTCCACACACAGGAGATTGCATCAATCTGATGAAATCCCTTGGAGGAGTACGTCAAAGAACGGTGCCTGAAAAGAGGGGAAAATGTTGCCAAAATTGCACATTAATTTTAAAATGGCTGACTTCCTGTTGGATTTGGGATATTGCTCCAAGAGACTTTTTTGTACATCTTGATATCTCCTATAAGCCTACCAGGTTTCAGATTCATACATAAAACACAGAGCTGGGGCTGATGTTTTGAAATTTTGTAGGGGGCGCTGTGGAGCCATTTTGGGATATTCAATGAAAATGATCACATGACACAAAGCCTTCATCACATTGGAGGTGTGTGCCAAATTTCAAGCCTCTATAAACTTGCCAAGACCCTCAAAAGCCACTTCATCTTTCATGGTGAACAGCGTTGCCACCAGGGTGCGCCGTTCAGTTTAAAGTCACAATTTTTGCACTGAAGCATCACGAGGGACTGATGTTGATATTCACCGCTTTTGAGGTGGCCACGATGAACCTGTGAAAATCAGTACAACAAAATTAAAGCCATGACATTTCCTGTTGCCACTAGGTGGCGCTGTCCGTATTTCCGACAATGGGCACATCAATCTGTTCAGGGCGGGTCTGACATCATGCCTGTAAAGTCTGGTACTGATCAGACTGGATTTCATTGAGTTATACTAATTTGTTTCTTCATGGCGTGACGTCAAAGTTCGCCACGCCGCTGGGGTCACACCCTTTTGCGAAAAGTCACAGTTTTCACTGTAACCCAAGACCAACTCCTTAAGGCTTTCCTGGAGAAATTTGAGGCTGCAGATGTCACCCATCACTATACTGTACCCCAAAGTGTAAAACATGACATTTCCTGTTCCCACTAGGTGGCGCTGTCCTTGATGTCAAATATGGCAGTTGAAATATGTTCAGGGGTGGAGCCTTATCATATGTGTGCTCTTTGGTCCAGATCGGAACATGTATGACAGAATGAGAGGCAATAAGATTTTCATGGCGAGTCATCGAAATTCGCCATGGCGCCACGGCCTCATAGTATTGTGAAAACTCAAAAGCTCCGCAATTTAACATGGCACAAGGGTGTAGTTGGCACTGACCAAATATGAAGGTTATGAAATCAAACCCCAGGAGGAGTTCGTTAAAGTTCGAGGCATGGAAACGGTAAAATCAGAGCCAAAATGTCACCTTCAATCCAAAATGGCGGACTTCCTGTTGGGTTTAGGACATTGCCATAATAGACTTTTTTGTTCGAATCTGAACGATATATAGGTGTACCGACTTTCAAACATGTATGTCATACCAATATCGGGGGCTCGCGTTTTTCATTTTTCTAGGTGGCGCTACTGAGCTAATTTTCCCTGGCCATGTCTGAGAACATTAAAATACGTAAATTTTCACCAGACCTGACGCGTGTGCAAAATTTCATGAGTTTTCGAGCATGTTTAGGCCCTCAAACGGCCAATTCATTTGCCGGAATAATAATAATAATAATAATAATAATAAACAGAGCAATTACAATAGGCCTTCGCACTGTCAGTGCTCGGCCTAATAATAATAATAATAAGAAACGAGCAGATACAATAGGGCCTTCGCACTCTCGGTGCTCGGCCCTAATAATAAGAAACGGAGCAGATACAATAGGGCCTTCGCACTCTCAGTGCTCGGGCCCTAATAATAATAAGAAACGGAGCAGATACAATAGGCCTTCGCACTGTCAGTGCTCGGCCTAATAATAATAATAAACAGAGCAATTACAATAGGGCCTTCGCACTGTCAGTGCTCGGCCCTAATAATAATAAACAGAGCAATTACAATAGGGCCTTCGCACTGTCAGTGCTCGGCCCTAATAATAATAATAATAATAATAATAAACAGAGCAATTACAATAGGGCCTTCGCACTGTCAGTGCTCGGGCCCTAATAATAAGAAACGGAGCAGATACAATAGGGCCTTCGCACTGTCAGTGCTCGGGCCCTAATAAGAAACGGAGCAGATACAATAGGGCCTTCGCACTCTCAGTGCTCGGGCCCTAATAAGAAACGGAGCAGATACAATAGGGCCTTCGCACTCTCAGTGCTCGGGCCCTAATAATAATAATAATAATAAACAGAGCAATTACAATAGGGCCTTCGTACTGTCAGTGCTCGGGCCCTAATAATAATAAACAGAGCAATTACAATAGGGCCTTCGCACTGTCAGTGCTCGGGCCCTAATAATAATAAGAAACGGAGCAGATACAATAGGGCCTTCGCACTCTCGGTGCTCGGGCCCTAATAATAATAATAAACAGAGCAATTACAATAGGGCCTTCGCACTCTCAGTGCTCGGGCCCTAATAAACAGAGCAATTACAATAGGGCCTTCGCACTGTCAGTGCTCGGGCCCTAATAAACAGAGCAATTACAATAGGGCCTTCGCACTCTCAGTGCTCGGGCCCTAATAAGAAACGGAGCAGATACAATAGGGCCTTCGCACTCTCAGTGCTCGGGCCCTAATAATAAGAAACGGAGCAGATACAATAGGGCCTTCGCACTCTCAGTGCTCGGGCCCTAATAATAATAAGAAACGGAGCAGATACAATAGGGCCTTCGCACTCTCAGTGCTCGGGCCCTAATAATAATAATAAGAAACAGAGCAGATACAATAGGGCCTTCGCACTCTCAGTGCTCGGGCCCTAATAAGAAACGGAGCAGATACAATAGGGCCTTCGCACTCTCAGTGCTCGGGCCCTGATAGCTCGTGGTGTCTACAAATGGTATAGATTCTAGAAGTGTGATGGTTTGCCCATTTTTGCCGATCCCAGCAAGTTCTGCCCACAATCAGATTTCTCATAAAACCTCATAATTCCATTCTGGGATCCCATATCAGCTCAAATCGGATGGAAGGCATACTAGACAAAAATTTGATACTTATTGGCAAAACTACATTTTTTCAGTGAGGATCTGCTTGTTCACTGATGGAGGGGTCGAAGCTGAACTGATCAAGTGAAGTTTTTGACCATGCAAGATGACAGCAGACAGGTTCAGTAGGCAAAATACAACCCGAGATTTGTTTTGGTGAGACTGTTGTGGTCTGTGGGTGGTTTTCCTTTTTGTGATTACACACTGTCACATTACAAAGCGCCGGCAGGTCATGTGGGACCATCTGTCCTTCTAGTTTAGTTGAATATGAGGTGCAAGTGGATACTTCTGGAGGATGCACCAGCAAATGCACCGAGAAGTGCCACTAACCAAGGGAATCTGGGAACTGCAAAGGCGTTCCTAGACCACCAAGAACCGCAAAAGCACCAAATGAATTGAACCATCCTTGGGACTTAATTGGAATAGATCTGTTTGTGGTCATGTCTCACCTTTGGTAATAAAGGAGCCATTCCTACTCAGGGCGGAGTCTTTGCTGGAGGTAGAGTCGCAGCGAAGCAGGGGCTCCGATTCATCAGGGAAGAAGCCTTTGGTGCGGTCCACTGGTGACTGCTCCAAACCCATGCCACTGACCCGGCCCATGCTACTGTTGCTGGCAATGCTAATAGGAGACTCTGTGGGCTTCTGGATTGGACTGTGTCTATTGCTTACATTCCCTGAGGTCATCAGCTGGTTGATGTCAAACTGCAAATATGAAGGAGGAGTGGAAAGTGAGGAAAAGAAGAGGAAGATGATGAGAAGGGGAATTGACAAGAGGAAAAAAACATTTTAGGAGATTGGTGGAAATGGCTCTTAATGACAATATGATTGATGATATATGGCACAAAGGTCCAGAAGATAATGACCTTTAGTTGAATCGCTGAAAGTGCAGAGACATATTATATTTATGTAAAGTAGATGTTAAGTTTGACATGCAGGCTTTTACAAAGAAACTTTGAATGCACTTGCCGGAGAAACTCACGGTAAGATGCAATGTGATAACACCAAAAAGTTCCTGGCTACGACTGACTCCCATTAACAAGATCTGAACATTTGGGTAATACTAGTGAGCTCTCTCTCTCTCTCTCCCCCCCCATGACACATGATGTTAACGAAACAAATGAAGCATCAAGGTAAAAGGAATATATACTGGCCTGAAGTTTCTCACTAAATTTTCTGAAAAATTAAAACACAACTGCATAGGTCCCTGGCCAGCCAATCACCCGTGAGTCCTGGAACGCTTTGATTTCGACAGAGGAAGGCAGGGCCACATGAGGCCGGGGGCCGTAACATCCCTCCCCTTAAATTACCAACTATGTTGGGCAAAAGCAGATATTAGGAACTGTAACAAAAACAAAGAACAAACACCACAAAACATGTTTACAACCAAAACAGACCATCAGCCAAAACATTTTCAGACCCCTTTTTGTGGTGAATACTTAAGTTGTATTCCTGCAGCAACAGAGCCCAGCGCATAAGGCGCTGTTTATGATTAAACATGCGAGCAAAGGACACAAGTGGGTTGTGGTCAGTGTGCATAACAAGAGGTAACATGCTAGACCCCAGGTATACGTGAAAGTGCTGAAGAGCCAACAACAAAGTCAGGGTCTCCTTTTCAATGGTGGAGTAGTTTAACTGATTTTTATTAAACTTGCGGGAAAAGTAACAAACGGAGTGGTCCAAACCCTGCAAGTCTTCTTGCAACAGCACTGCCCCAGCCCCGACAGCACTGGCATCAACCTGAAGTTTGAATGGTCGCGTCAAATCAGGTGCAGCTCACACAGGAGTGTGGCAGAGGAGGGCTTTTGCACTTTCAAAAGCATCTTGACACTCACTTGACCATAGAAACTGAACCTTTAGACTGAGTAGGTCAGTCAGTGGCTTGACTACAGAGGAGAAATTTTTACAAAAGTTTCTGTAGTAGCCCACCATCCCTAGAAACCTACACAACTCACGGCTGGTGCTAGGTGTGGGGAACTCTTTAATCACTGCCACTTTTGGTAAATGGCCTGGTAAATGGTAAATGGCCTGTATTTATATAGCGCTTTACTAGTCCCTAAGGACCCCAAAGCGCTTTACATATTCAGTCATCCACCCATTCACACACACATTCACACACTGGTGATGGCAAGCTACATTGTAGCCACAGCCACCCTGGGGCGCACTGACAGAGGCGAGGCTGCCGGACACTGGCGCCACCGGGCCCTCTGACCACCACCAGTAGGCAATGGGTGAAGTGTCTTGCCCAAGGACACAACGACCGAGACTGTCCAAGCCGGGGCTCGAACCGGCAACCTTCCGATAACAAGCCGACCTCCCAACTCTTGAGCCACGATCGCCCCACTTTTGCATCAATGGGCCGGACCTGTCCACGTCCCACCTCCCTGCCCAAGTACGTCACTGTAGCTTTGGTAAACTCACACTTAGCTAAGTTGAGAGTTAGAGTAGCTTGAGCCAAACGGTGAAATACCTGGCGTAGAGTTTCCAAATGATCTTGCCATGTTTCAGTATAAATTACTAGATCATCTAGGTAGGCACTGCAGTTGGACAGGCCACGGAGGACTTTATTTACCAGCCTCTGGAAGGTGGCAGGAGCGTTACACATGCCGAATGCCATAGGTACATACAGTGGGGCAAAAAAGTATTTAGTCAGCCACCGATTGTGCAAATTCCCTCACCTAAAATGATGACAGAGGTCAGTAATTTGCACCAGAGGTACACTTCAACTGTGAGAGACAGAATGTGAAAAAAAAAAAAAATCCATGAATCCACATGGTAGGATTTGTAAAGAATTTATTCGTAAATCAGGGTGGAAAATAAGTATTTGGTCAATAACAAAAATACAACTCAATACTTTGTAACATAACCTTTGTTGGCAATAACAGAGGTCAAACGTTTACTATAGGTCTTTACCAGGTTTGCACACACAGTAGCTGGTATTTTGGCCCATTCCTCCATGCAGATCTTCTCGAGAGCAGTGATGTTTTGGGGCTGTCGCCGAGCAACACGGACTTTCAACTCCCGCCACAGATTTTCTATGGGGTTGAGGTCTGGAGACTGGCTAGGCCACTCCAGGACTTTCAAATGCTTCTTACGGAGCCACTCCTTTGTTGCCCGGGTGGTGTGTTTTGGATCATTGTCATGTTGGAAGACCCAGCCTGGTTTCATCTTCAAAGTTCTCACTGATGGAAGGAGGTTTTGGCTCAAAATCTCACAATACATGGCCCCATTCATTCTGTCCTTAACACGGATCAGTCGTCCTGTCCCCTTGGCAGAAAAACAGCCCCATAGCATGATGTTTCCACCCCCATGCTTCACAGTAGGTATGGTGTTCTTGGGATGCAAGAAGTATTCTTCTTCCTCCAAACACCACGAGTTGAGTTTATACCAAAAAGTTCTACTTTGGTTTCATCTGACCACATGACATTCTCCCAATCCTCTGCTGTATCATCCATGTGCTCTCTGGCAAACTTCAGACGGGCCTGGACATGCACTGGCTTCAGCAGCGGAACACGTCTGGCACTGCGGGATTTGATTCCCTGCCGTTGTAGTATGTTACTGATGGTGACCTTTGTTACTTTGGTCCCAGCTCTCTGCAGGTCATTCACCAGGTCCCCCCGTGTGGTTCTGGGATCTTTGCTCACCGTTCTCATGATCATTTTGACCCCACGGGATGAGATCTTGCGTGGAGCCCCAGATCGAGGGAGATTATCAGTGGTCTTGTATGTCTTCCATTTTCTGATGATTGCTCCCACAGTTGATTTTTTTCACACCAAGCTGCTTGCCTATTGTAGATTCACTCTTCCCAGTCTGGTGCAGGTCTACAATACTTTTCCTGGTGTCCTTCGAAAGCTCTTTGGTCTTGGCCATGGCGGAGTTTGGAGTCTGACTGTTTGAGGCTGTGGACAGGTGTCTTTTATACAGATGATGAGTTCAAACAGGTGCCATTCATACAGGTAACGAGTGGGGGACAGAAAAGCTTCTTACAGAAGATGTTAGAGGTCTGTGAGAGCCAGAGATTTTCCTTGTTTGAGGTGACCAAATACTTATTTTCCACCCTAATTTACGAATAAATTCTTTACAAATCCTACCATGTGGATTCATGGATTTTTTTTTTCCACATTCTGTCTCTCACAGTTGAAGTGTACCTCTGGTGCAAATTACTGACCTCTGTCATCATTTTAAGTGGGGGAACTTGCACAATCGGTGGCTGACTAAATACTTTTTTGCCCCACTGTAGGTACATAGGTACTGTAGAAAATCATCAGGTGTTACAAAGGCAGAGATGTTAGAGGCATGCTCAGTTAAAGGGACCTGCCAGTAACCTTTAAGAAGATCTAATTTAGTGCCATACTGAGCAGTCACAATACTGTCCACACAATCCTCAATTCTTTGGAGAGGATGTGAGTCAGTCACAGAATTCACCTTCCATAAGTCTGTAATGAAATGGGGCGAGCCATCTGGCTTAGACTCCACTATACAAGGTGAGCTCCAGGGGCTTTGACTGCAACATGGCTTCGCTAAGCCATGTTGCAGCAGATAGTCAGCGTCCTGTTTCATGAGCTTATGGGGGCTGGCTCGACAAGGATGCTGCTTAATAGGTTTAGCTCCCTGGACATCGATATCATGCTCTAGCACTGTAGTGTGAGTTGGCACACTACACAATAAACAGGTGTATTCACTAATCAAGACAGTTATGTCATCTTGCTGCTCAGAAGACAGATGTTCGAGCAAGCTCGGTAATGCTTTCAGCATTTCTGAGTTAGACAGACGGGGTCTAGAACAGGTGGGATAACTTCGTTTTAAACCATCAACCTCGTCCACCCCTCCTTCCTCTAGGTGGTTTGAGGCTACAACAAGCACAGGCGATAGCCGGCCCTGGTGTCGATCGAGGATGGTATAATTTCAACATGCTTATGTGGCAGACGCGTGTTTTGCACCTGTGGTCGGGAGTGCAAATTACATAATCAGTCTCCCCTCTCTTTTCACAGACTTCAAAGGGGCTGCTATACCTAGCAGACAAGGCTGAGCCCAGAACAGGCAACAGCACAAGAACCTGGTCACCCACCTGAAAGGTTCTTTTAACAGAAGCCTTATCGTAATGGCGTTTCATTTTCCCCTGTGAAACAGCAAGGTGCTGTTTAGCCAGAGCATTGGCTTGGTTCAAACGCTCACGGAAGTGTTTTACATACCTCCTTACATTTACCTTGGAAACCCTGTGTGGGCTCAAAAATAACTCTTTCAGAGCTTTGAGGGATCCGCGTGGCCTATGGCCAAATACCAGCTCAGAAGGACTAAAACCAAGTGACTCCTAAATAGCGTCACGGGCAGCAAATAACACAAATGGAACTCCCTCATCTCAGCTCTTTTCAGACCGTAAGCAGTATTTGCGCAGCATCGCCTTTAAGGTCTGATGCCACCGCTCTAATGCACCTTGCGATTCAGGATGATAAGCAGAGGACACAACATGTTTGACACCTAGAGTGCTAGCCACTTGTTTGAATAACTTAGATTGAAAGTTTGAGCCCTGGTCAGTCTGTATGACCTTTGGCAGGCCAAACACTGAAAAGAATGTTGTCAACGCCTTAACAACTGATTTCGCTGTAACCTTATGTAACGGGACAGCCTCTGGGAAACAGGTAGCTACACACATGATCGTGAGAAGGTATTGCTTTCCTGATTTTGTTCTAGGTAGTGGACCCACA